TCCAACCATCCATCCATGCATCCATCCACCCATCCATGCCTCACACTTCAAAACACAAACACTTCATAGATCAACTGTTCATGGTAAGGGCACGTTACAGCCACCGTAGCCAACGCCTTGGTGTCACCTCTACTCATTCCTTCTCGATCTTTCTTTTCTCTTTGCAGTTTCCGAAGTCTTTGTCCCATTTACTGAAGCAACCCTCAAACCAAAATTTGGTCTTTCAATCGTCTGTTACATCAGGAACGAGCATTTCATTGGCTGGTTCAAAGCTAACAGCAAGATCAAGATCCCTGTGGTGGCGAGCAAAGCGGACGTCAAGGACGAACCCGCTGTAGTCATAGCAACTGTCAGTAACAAAACAACAGAAGCTTTGATGATATTTCCCAGGGGTAGTCCGGTCTCTAATGCAGGGAAGTATGTTTGTACGGGTGGAATACACCGAGCAGTGGTCAAAGTGATTTCCAAGATTATATAGACTGAGGTCGCTACATTATGTTTTTACAGATATTTCGATCGTGTTTTAAAACTGAAAGAGCGGATTTTTTTTGAGCGACACCACAGGGAGCCCAATTTAAATTAAGCTGAAATAGATCAAAACGAAATCAAAATAAAATGTATTTTGTTATATTTTCTCAATAGTTTGCATCATTTAGGACACTATATTAACCTCAATACCAAAAAGTTAATAAAACGAGTAATTACAAAATTTAGGTGTTATGAAATCGTCACATGACCTTTGACCATGCACACATTCCACAGGCAGCCCAACCAGTGCACTTGAAGCTCAAATATGAAGTATTTTTTTTAGATACGTGAAACTATTTAAAAAATTTGTTTATATATTGATGAATTAATCTAAAAATAAATTTATTAARAAAATGTCTTTACTGTGACAATTTCACGTATCATTGAAAAAAACTTATATTTTAGTTTCAAGTACACCGCTTGGGCTGCCTGTGCACGTTCAGTCCACGTGAAGTCGATCCGTGAAATAAAGGGTTTGTATTTGGAGACGATTTTGAAGTAATACTCGATATTTTAAAAGCTGAAGAGGACATGGAAAGGAAGTTTGTAGAAGCTGTAGATATGGTAAGTCTAAATCATTGAATAGACTGTGAGTTTTAAACTGAAAAACATCGACAAATTCCAAGCACGCTGAGAGCAACTTATCGCTAGTTCTGTCAACGACTGTCAACAGGGTTTCAAATGAAAATTCAGCTTTTACTGCTACTAGTCTTTATATACTGCAAAGACATATAAATTTATGTCTTTGTGTCATAATAGCCTCTATCATCCATTTTTAACGATGTTCAAATTATGTAAAAGTACTTTTAAACCAAATATTAAAGAATAAAACTATTCATATCCAATCTCCAAAGTTATGCATTGTAAACGCTACAAAATTGTAAACTTTATTTTTTCATGTGAAAGATAAGTATAATTTCTAATTATTTTATAGTTCTCTTTTTGATATGTTTACGATTTAACGTTTTGTACCTCTTAGTTTTCTCGGTAGCAGATTTCATTTACTTATGCGGGATCCCTGTGGATATCAGGGCGGGAAAAGTGTGCGCGTGTGCATTTTTGGGTCGGGATCATTGGTATTGTGTTTTCTTGAACAATTTGACGCATGCGCGTAGGTCTATTAGTTATGTCTACAAAGTACATGTTCGAGTTGTTTTTACTAACCAAAGGGAACCCAAGTACTATTTTTCAAATATTTAATTCCAGATGTAAAAAGAATATTGAAAGTAATATTGAGAATCGGAATTAAAAAAACGATATTTTTTGCTAATGCACTGGCACTTGCTGTTTAACAATCGTTCAGTTGCGCGCCTCATTGTGGGGCGTAGCCAGAATTTTTTCGAAGGGGGAGGCCTGAATGAAAATATGCGCCATTTTGTTTGAGCGACCGAAATGCCGAAGAAAAACATTTAAAAACGACATTACTTAATACATTTTGTTTTTACTAATTCTAAAAAGCCGCCATCTTGTTGTCACGAAGGGGGTTGCCCTTCCCCCTGCCATTGTGAATAAGGACTGGGACCATTTCAAGGAAGAATGGGAAATTGCACGAGGGAATTTGTACCTGAATCATGGTACAACGTCCTACTGATTGTTGAATTTTATTCAAAAAAACAAAAATCGTTCATCATTGCACGTCGGAGAGTTACTTGGAGCAGTATTGAGAGGAACCATTTCCAGGAAGGAAATTGTAACATTTATGGGGACTGAAATCGCCCCTGTCCAGGAATTTGGATCTAACTCGTTGTACAAGGTCCTACTGATTATTGAATTGTATTTTCTAAAATTTCGTTAATAATTGCATGTCGAAAGGTAACTGAAGAAGTATGACGTGGAACCATTTCCAGGAAGGATGGAGACATTGGGCCTGTCCAGGAATTTGGACCGCATCCATAGTACAAAGTCTTACTTATTTATGAATTGTTTGTCGAATAAAAATGTTCGTGAATTATTGCACCTCAAAGGTACTTGGGGTGGGACTATTTCCAGGAAGGACGTGGAAATATCGCCTGTCCAGGAATTTGGACCGCATCCATAGTACAAAGTCTTACTTATTTATGAATTGTTTGTCGAATAAAAATGTTCGTGAATTATTGCACGTCAAAGGTACTTGGAGTGGGACTATTTCCAGGAAGGATGGGGACATATCGCCTGTCCAGGAATTTGAACCAGATTCGTGATACAAAGTCCTACTGATTTCTAAATTGTATATCAAATACAATAGTTTATGAATTCCTTAGATGCGCAGACTTGGAGCAGCAATGCGTGGGTACATTTCCAGAAAGCTCGAGTAGACTTCCTGTCCTGGAATTTTGACCAGATTAGTGAAGTAGCATTATGATAATCACAAAAACAATGAACGTAATGATAAAATTCTTTCACGATTTTGATCAAGGTATTTAGGCTCTCGATTCTAAATGCACCAATACTTGCATAACATTAATACCTTCACCTTAACTCCCCAAGACCCCGTTTTCTTCTTTTTCTATATAACCCAGCTCATTCCAATAGACCAGGAATCAAGGAAAATAGTATGGTTGCTTTGTGGTGCGTTTCAAATCGTTACATGTAATTATATATACCAATAAATCAGGCAAGACGCTACCCAGGTTTAGTGTCAATCAGTTTATCATCTGTAGTGTCGAGTGAAGCATTAAAATACTGATTTTTCATTAGAGGCTTTGCACCAACACGTGATGGCAGCCATGACAGGAAGCATAGCAATAGATTCGAGTCTTTTCCCCTGAGAAACTGAATTCTTTATCTTCTTTAGTTTTATTTTAGTTGTTTTTATTTTGTCAACTTCGCCGAAGAATAAACAAAACAAGTCAACAAAACCAGAAGTAGGCGACAGGGTGACCGCAGCAGCGAAGCCCTTTTTTTCATGTAAATAAGTTGAGATCATTGCTGCCATCACGTGATGAGTGGTGCAACCTCTACAGGATAGCCATGTGGCCTGAGACTAAACAGAGCCACTCGGGTCATTTGTACGTGAGTCTTACGTTCTTTTTTCGGAGCTTGCGTCGCTTTGGGTAAAGTTACCAAGTGACCTTTTACCATTAAACCCCTGCATTGGTTGATTGCTTATCTCATGAAGTGGGGATTGTTTGTCTTAACGAAAACATGTTAAGGGTTTTCTCCTGGTTTCCAGGCTTCTCAAAATGTTTTGCATAAGAAAGGATTTCGTCCCCCAAAGGGAAAAAAAGCTTTGTTCTAGTATTCACCATGACGCCGCAAATAAAATCCCCCTAGAATTGAAACCCAGAGTTTCGCTTGCCGAGGTCAAAAATTGCACGTTCTGTCATACTGAATGGAATTAATTCATTCATTCTACATGAATGATAGATCGGTGTGTGTGTGTTAGACAGGATAAAAAAATTAATTAATCAATTAATTAAATCTCCAGAATGATAGATCGGTCTGTGTGTTAGACAGGGGAAGAAAATAGAGTTCCATTTATTGGCGCTGTCAAAAGAAGAATCGGGTCAATTCCGATTCTATTCATTCCTTCCGGTCAAACAACCCCACGGGAGATCAGTAATAAACTACAAACGTCGGTAGTTATATTCAGTAGAATCGAATATCAACGGAAGAAAACATAGAGAATATTTTTCTCCCGCTGTCTGTTGCAATACACGCGGGAAGGATGCTCTTCCATATGGGACACCTACTAACCCACCATCCGTAGGCCTACCGCGCGGAAACCGTCGGCTTTGGCCAAAAAATATCGGCCTCAGTTTCTTGGAATTTTGCCTGGAATGAGTTGAAATAGTCCAATCCTATTGGAGGCTGATTTTCTTCTTTTAGCCAAAAATTCGCATTAAACAGGAGGACCTCGAACAACTTTTAAATCAACGTACTTTTTTTCAGTTAGGAGTCCGTGAAAAGTTTTTGGCGTTTAAGTTTTCGATTTCATTCAAGAGGATCTTCGTTGACAGCGGTGTCTTGTAGATTTTTTTTTGTGTGTGTCTGGTAACTGGATGACTGAAATCCATTCATTCTGCTCTGTTCCCAGCACTTGAGGGATATAATCCAACAATGGTGACGCCTCTTGGCGTCGGTAAAGCGATAAGTAGTGATGACACATGACCAGTTCACTGGGTTATAAAACCGAGCACCTCGCCGACCAAGATCACAAAGTTCAAACTACAAAGCTACACTGTTATACTAGTAAAATCACAGCTTCATTAAGCATTCAAGATGGGATCCATGGTGCTTGTTCTACTCGTTGTGACTTGTTTATCAGTGGGAAACGTCCTAGGACAAGGTGCTGGTTGCTGCAACACGTTTGCTCCAGCCCAGAAAGCGTTTTTGAGGAAGATGCTACAAGAAGAAGCCAAGGGGCTGCGAGCCGGGATGATGAGTGCGTTTTCCACCCCTAAAGGTAAAATTGCAATAGAAATCTTTTCATATTTTTGTTAGTCAAATTTTGTTGCCTTACCTGGAACGGTGCAACGTTGCGCCGTGAGAGAAAGATAAAACAGGAACTCTTTACCGTCTTCACTTAGAGATATTTCTAATTAACCTTCTTTTAAAACTAATCTTAAAACTCATTTATTTAAAATAGCTTTTTCTTTACAAGTTTTTCTATTATTATTATTTTTTATTACCTTAAGATATTCGTTTTGATTTTAGAAACGAAAAAAAAAAAAAAATTAGTACAAATTTTACCGCTGTGCGCGCAAGCAAGTACTTAGAATTCTGAATATCCATTCTAGGCGTTCTGACCAGGAACAAGGTGCAACTTATTTTTTAATTGATGTCATTGTCTTTCGGAACTAAACTGGCTTAATGCTCTTTTTCCCTCCCTCTACTGCGATTTTCGATATTCTGAGAACTCAAACATTTGTAAACGGCTTGCTGTGAAATTGTTCGTACGTTCTAGTCAGTATACTACTGCTGGCAGGAGTCAAGAACGTAAATGGTAATGGCTGATATTTTTTGATTGAA